CCCGGTGCTGCCACCCCTGGTCCCGCTGTCCCGGCCCCGCTACACAGGGGCATCAGCCCTGTACAACAGCACCAACCTGGGGCGAGAGGCAGGACGGGGCTTGGGGCAGTTCAGTCTGCCACAGGGACATGGCCTCTTTCCTGGAGGCCRGGACAAGAGGCGGCCTCAGTCACAACTCTGAGCACCGGAGGGCTGGGAGCACAAGGAGCGATGGTAGCTGCATGGTTGAGCAGCTACTACAATGGTAGCACTGTGGTTGAGCAGCTACTATGATGGAAGCTCTGTGGTTGAGCAGCTGCTATGATGGTAGCTCCGTGGTTGAGCAGCTACTACGTCCTGCTCTCTGATCCTACAGCTCTGATCCAGTTTGCCTGTCCCTGCTAGCCTGGCATGCCAGAAGATTCCTAGAGAAATGTGATAAAAGGAATYGGCAGAGAGTGAACTAGGGGTACGTTGAGTAGAGGATGGGCTCAAAGGAACATTCTTTGCATAGGAATGTCGCAAGGGTGGCAGCTCAAACCTACGCCTTGTGTGTCTTGCAACAYTTCCCTGTGCATCTGACTGCCACCCTTCTTAAGGAGAGAGCTGCCTGCACAATCCCTGTAAAATGCCCTTCCTGCATAAATGGATTATATTTCCCATCTACCTGCAGGAGGGACCTCATGTCCTATCTATATGGGAAATACAGGGATGGGATTATACATCCAATCTACTTCAGGTGGAAATCCCAACCAGAARAATCAGAAAAAGCTGTTTGGTCTATTTTAAAATATTGGACTGAATCAAGACCAAACTTTTCACTGCACAACTCCTATTAAAGATTAAAAGCTTAAAGGGACAATAAAAAAAAAAGGAAAAAAAGGAAAAAAAGCATTAATGCTAACTTTTGACAAATAGTTATCCAGGAATAAAAAAAAAAATGCTGATGTGGTTGAGTGACATGTACATCACTGTAATAAAATTCAAGAGGCAAGAGCCAGATGGCTGTAAGAGAGCCCACTTTCCCAGGGGCGGTTGGTGCTTCTGGGTTAACACCTAATTCCCAATGACAATAAATGCCTCGGCAAGCTCTTCTGCCTGAGGAACAGCAAAGCTATGTTCAGAAGAACAAAAATCTTWCGTAGGAGAATTTAAGCCCACTCCTTTACCTTTCAGTTGGCAGGGTCCCTGCACACGAGAGAAAGAAACTGAGTCACAAACATCACACAACCAAACCACATAAACTTATATGGAAAACAATACAATTAAATATGCACAATTTCCTTAGCCAACAAGCCTTTCTGTAAATTTTTGTAATTCAACCCTTTTTTTTTTCTGAACTGTACATAGGTGTTTATTTCCTGAATGAAGACAAAATGTTTTAATTGAATTTWTATATATATATATACACACACACATATTGATAATCTTCATATGCGATTGCTACATTTGAGTAAACTTTGGGACACACCAGAACTGTTCCCTGCTCGCATTCATAGTGACTGAACCTAAATGTGAGTCGCTCTGAGGAGTCAAGACTGCTTTACCAGCTCCCTGCCACAATTACTTTTCATTTCAAGGTTTCTCTTTGCTAAACCTGACCTAAAGCAGATAAATTTTGCACCTGAGCAGATATAGCAAGCCCCTATAGCGCATTTAACCGGCACAGTAAGGCCTCCAACTATCGCAGCCCTTTCAGCAACACTCATTTCACAGAAGCTTATAAGGCTCTGAGACTTGCARTCACATTCCTCAAGATTGAAGTCACTCTGTTAATAAGTAATTAGAGGTGCTGAAGTACTACGTGACAATAAGACTGGGGTAGGTTTCTGAAACTCCAGTTGTTCCCATCTGCAGTTTGAATTCCTATGAGAAAGCAATATGTGAGTAACAAGTCCCAGCWCTTCTTGGCACTAGGATAATCCCATGCACAGGTTAATTCTAGGAGACTATTCTCTGTGGCATAGAAGATTTGTACGGGAAAAAATGGAGAGATAATTAGGCTGAAAATATTTGACATACAATAATCTGTAATCAATGCATACAGAGAAACAGACTGCCTTTAATGGCACTGCTCTTGCTCATCTGCTACCTCCAGCCACTTCCTACTGAGTCCAGAAGGCGGTGGGGTGAGAGAGAGCCTACTATGCGTAGTCATTTTATGAGCACTTATGTTATATTAAAGGAGTATTTTACCTGTATTTTTAYAGTTTCTCATGTCTTGCCCTTCTCACATCTTGCAAAGTTTTAGGAAAATGTAAATCAAAATCTATCCCTCTGCAAAGGAACAATAAAGWCCCTTGGCAAAGGAAGTGCATAATAACCTGACAACAGCTTTTGATAACACTCAAGTGGACAATAAAAGGCTCCTCCACCCATATTTAAGGTCTGACATGGATTTCACGGAGATCAGACGAACACTTTTTACTTTGCAAGCAAGTCCTATCTCCGGAAGAAGGAGGCACTGAAATCAACCTGAGGTTAAGTGGACAGATAAGACAGCGTGGGGAGCATTCTGCACCCAGCAAGCCCTGGAAAACAACCATTTCTGTTCTCGTCAGGCAACGTGGAGTGCCACGGAAGGTTGCACTTCAGCTGGGCTGACTTAACGTCAGGAGGGTCATGGACTTCCCCCAGACCTGCACAGCCAATGCTGAGCTCTTTGGAACCCAACCCGCACAAACACCCAGCCCACAGCAGCTATTCAACTGCCTCCTGGCTGTCCTCGTGTCCAGGTGTCGCCTTACTCAAACATCAGGAAGTCCCTGGCTGCTCTGCTCAACTCTGACAGCCAACAGGCTTTGCCTGTAATTAGAGTGGGTTAATTTTTGGCTAGCAAGTGTGGAAGTATACTTAAAAGCAAAAAACACAAGAAGTCTAGTCTGTAGCAAAGACTAGCTTTATGAATCAAAGTGGAGCAGAAGAATCTTTTTATTTACATCCCTTATTCAGTGAAAAGCATTCATGGACTTTCACAGTAATAGCACCTGGCAAAACTTCATATCTTATTTGTATTTAACTGCTTTTCAYTTAATTGTGTTAAAGCACGGTGCACCGCTTCCTCAGGATCAGCTCTGAGGTTTAAGAACCGAAGCCTGCTTTTGGACTAAAGCTTTAACTGCATTCATTTCAGGAAAGAAATATTGCTGAAAATACCCCGTTAGAATTTTGGAAGCCAAATCATTAAGTTAAAAAGCAAGAGTCGCTATAAGAAGGCTATAAATTAATCTTAAGAAAATAAAAGATCTATGAAATAATTTTAGRACTGTCTTTCCTTAGCAACATACACTGTATATATTTAGCATTTTGGAATTAATGGCAATTTCTGGGCTTCATGTCCCATCACCTCTGTCCCCCACATGYCCAAGCACATATTAGCTGCCACGAAGTCACTGCTACCAATTCCTACCAAAGCTCTCGTCTTTCATAGCCTTTACCAGCCAGTCCCTTTCCTTCTCCTCCTCGGAGTCGCTCACATCGCTGGAATTGGCAGTCAGGAGATGAGAATAGTTGATTTTTTTCTGCCGAGGCAACCTGGACTGCAGAGCGAGGAAGAGGCAGAGCCAGAGGAGCAGGCCRGCACCGCAGGCCCGGTAGAGCACAGGCAGGCCGTAACTGTCCACCACCAAGCCCCCCGACACGCTGCCCAGGGCAGCCCCTGCGCCCTGCGTGAGGCCACGGAGCAGGGCACGCAGGGCTCTCTCCATGCCGGGAGTGGCGACGTCGCTGACGGTCGCATCGAGTGCCCACCACAAGGCGCCGTTGCTGAAGGCGGACAAGAGCTGGGCGAGCAGGGCAGCCCAGGGCGCCCCGCTGAAGGAGTAGCAGAGCAGCTGGGCCGCCTGGCAGCCCAGGCCCAGCGCCACCATGCCGCTGCCCGACAGCGTCCTCAGCAGCTCGCCCCTGAAGGGGTAAAGCGAGAGCTCGGCCACAAGCCCCGTGGCCACCCAGAGCCCCATGTAGCCCTCGCTGCTGCCATGGTCCTCCATCTGCCAGAAGAGGAAATCATGCACGGCAGAGCTGGCTGCGCCAGCGAGCAGCACAGTCACGGCAGCCAGGACGGCATGGCCGTCGCCGCCAATAAGGGCCAGGGCTTTGGCGGTTCTCCTTGTGCGCTTGTCTTTCTTGGGAGCGTAGGTGGGAAGGAAAACGCTGGCGAGCAGYGACAGCACTGCCAGCAGGCTGTATGCGTAGAAATGGACGGCTTGTCGGGAAAGGCGACTGCCAAGGTGGCAACCCAGCCGGTCGATGAGCAGAGTGACGCCGCAGGCTCCAACGGACACCCCCAGGTAGCCCCAGACCCACAGCGTGCTGTATCTGTCTGCTGCATCAACAAAGTCCAGGTATTCGTAGAGACTCTCGTCAACTGTGCGTTCAACAGGGGCGGCTAGCAGCTCCCACAGCAGCATGGCCCCAAGTGCCATCACAAACACCCAGTGCTCCCCCTTGGTGCCCTGCACTAAGTCCAAGCCAGTGTCCAGAGCTGCCTGCCAGTGATGGGAGAGGTTTTCAGGGGCACCAGCACCTCCGACGGTGGGAAGGGGAGATTTAAATAAGGGCAGCTTGCCATTTTTACTAAGGAGAAGGTGTTTTTCAGGGTTATCATTGAGATCCACCCCAGCTGCTGCTGTGCTGCTTGTCTCCTCCTGGTGTCCATAGGGCATTCCCAGTGCAGGTGTCTCTGGGTTAACACTACCAGCCGTGTAGCGATCTGTCCCCATGTCACCAGCTCCCACGTCGCTCTTCCAGAGGGCATCAGTGGAGCTGAACACTCCTCGAAGTGCTGGTGCCATCAGCGTTGGCACAAGACCCACTGGCAGGGCACGTGCAGTTGCTCCCCACGGCTCTGCTGGCACCATGTTGGAGACGCTGGCATTGACTCCATCGCCATTGGCACTGATGCCATTGGCGGCGTTGGTGGCATTGGCACTCGTGGCATTGCCGGCGTTGGCACCAGCGGCCCCACCGCAGAGCCCTCGCGTGTCTTCCAGTGTGGCAGGCGGCACCAGTGTGAGCAGCAGCGCGGCAGCGGCCGAGCCCAGCAGTGCGGCGGCCACAAGCGCCTTGGCCTGGCAGCCACTGCGGGCGCAGGCGGCGCCCAGTGGCGCCCAAGCAGCCACCAGCAGGTGCCGCRCAGCCGCGGCGGCGCCCACCAGTGAGGCGGGCAGCCCCAGGTGCCGCAGGTAGAGGCTCAGGAAAGGCACCGCGCAGCCGCTTGCCGCGCCGTGCACCAAGTGGAAGAGGGAGGCTGCCACGAGGGCGCCACGCACGTCCCACTGCCCCATGGCCGCCCCGAGCCGCGGCCTCGCGCGGGGAGCTGCCCCCAGCGCCTGGGCGGTGCTTCCTCCCCGGCCCGGCGGCGGGGCCCGCGGTTGCTCGGAGGCGGCAATGGGCGGAGAAATGGCGGTGCCGCCTCTGCCTCAGCGCGGGCAGCCCGCGCGGCCTGAGCCTCCCGCATTCCGGCTGTGCTCCCGCGAGCCTCCCTGCAGCCAGGCTGTATCCCCCTCATCCCGGCTCTGCCTCCATGGGCAAGTCGTCCTGCCTGCCCTGGGCAGCTCCATGTCCTCTCATCCCGGCTCTGCCTCCATGGGCACCTCGTCCTGCCTGCCCTGGGCAGCTCCATGTCCTCTCATCCCRGCTCTGCCTCCATGGGCACGTCGTCCCGCCTGCCCTATCCTGGGCAGCTCCATCTCCTCTCATCCCGGCTATGCCTCCATGGGCACCTCATCCTGCCAACCCTATCCTGGGCAGCTCCACTTTTTTTCTTTTTTTTTTTTTTTTTTTTTTAAATACTGCTCCCCAGTGGAGCCTCCTCACCACTCTCTGCCCCTATAGGATCATTAATAATTGGACCTAATCAAATCCAATTGTTAACCCTTCAACACCACACCTGTTAAACCATGTCCCTAGGTGCCTCATCTCCACCTTTCTGAACACTGCCRAGGATGGTGACTCCACCTCTTCCCTGGGCAGCTTGTGCCAAAGCTTGACTACTCTTTCCATGTAGAAAACGTTCCTAATATCTAAGGTGAACCTCCCCTGGCACAACTTGAGGCTATTTCCTCTTGTCCTATCAGTAGCCTTTTTAGAGAACATCTTCTTTTTAGAGAACGACTTCCGTCTCACTACAACCTCCTTCCAGGAAGTTGTAGAGAGCAATGAGGTCTCCTTTGAGTCTTCTTCTCCAGACAAAGTAACCCCAACTCCCACAGCTGCTCCTCATAAGGCCTGTGCTGCTGCCCCTTCCTCGGCTTTGTTGCCCTCCTTTGGACCAGCCTTCCTCATGGCGGCCTCCACATAACGATTGCCTCCCTATCCAGCCTGGCTTCCCTCAAGGCACCGTGGCTCTTGCCCCCTTGTCCTTAGGTGGTGCTTTGAATTGAGGTGGTGGGGACAGACTGCAGCAGCACAGAGGGGGCAGTTACCATGGGGGATATGGATTTGGGCTTCCAAATTTATGGGATTCTGCTGCTTCTGCCTGCTCCAGCACCCAAGAGCTCTCTGGACACGGAGAGTCACTCTTGGTGATGTTGCAGGCAGCCCGGAGGTGAGACTTCAACCACAGGGCAGAAATGATACCAATGCCTTTCTGATCCTACTCATTTATTTCCCAGAGTCACGCAATCATAACAAAGAGCCCTTTTTTCTGGTCTTTTCTTCTAAAATGTATTTTAATTGACATGAAAAGGATTGCACCTTCTGATACAGATTGTCTGTCCACCTATACAAATAATTTATTATCCATCTACATCATTTACAAATGTACAGTGCCAAACGTGGCCTCCACACTTACGTGCAACTTTGCAGGTCTTTATGTGTTGGGCACGCTTGCTGGCATGACCGGCCCCCTCCAGGACAGCTCCAACAGAGCAGAGGTAACAAATGCCCCATTCAGACCTTCAAACTCCTCTTTATTCCATACAGACACTCATGGAGGACAACAGATGGCTGCTGATTTCTTGACTCGTCTTTGAGCCTCTTTTTCAACTTCAGTGTCCTTCCAGGGATGAAATAATTGCTGCCTACAGCAGGCAGTGGTGGGCATTAATTTGGCAACTGTGGTCAAATGAAGGTGAAAAATAGGGCTGAAGGATCAACCTGAGACCTTGCAGCCTGGTGACTCCTGCATAGGACCATGCCTGGAATAAACAGCTGCATCTGCAATGTAGCTACATCATAGCTACATGTCTACATTTCAGGGCTGCTTCCTTGAATAAGTGGCTGTTTTACTGTCACCCAAGGTAATCTTTGACTGTTCTGTGCTGGTTTAGGGATTATTTTTTTTTTCAGACTGGAAGACTCTTTATATCTCTAATTATCGATCACCTGCCAACAGCTCTAGAGCTGTTTTGCCCACAGTAGTGTAATTCAGTGGGTTGTTTAAAGTGAGAGTGAATAAGCTTATAGCTTGGAAAGAGAAAAAATACCAGATGAGAATGAGTGAACCTGCTAGCACACAACTTGTGTTTGCAAAACAGGAGCCAGGGAAGGCTGAGAGAAAAACCACTAAAGCCTGAGCCTAAACACTGAGATGTTCTCACAAGGCACTTGGGTCTTTGGTGGTGACCATAACCTTATACCTGAGCTCACCCTTGTCCTGGCATGGACAGAGSTGGGGCAGAAGATTTAAGCTTCACCCCAGTGCAGCAGCATTTCTCCATCTGACAAGAGTCATCAGGGCTAATACATGGATTTGCCAGGGCAACTGCAGTCAGCTGGGCCAGCATCACCTCCAAGTGCAGAGCCAGGCCCACAGGTTCCCCAGGGGTCTCAGATGGAGAAGACTTGGGAAGAGCTGCTGTACATGTATGGAAAGCTAAAGGAGACTCTCTTTAGGTAGCTGATCTGAGCAAGCACCTCAGACTGAAGGCAAACCAGGCAAGGAGCCACCTAGGAGCCAAGAGAATAAAACACGATAGTGTCATGGAAAGAAAGCCTCCAAATCTTCTCCACTGCGAATTTAGGAAGAACTCTCTGGAGATACCCCAGATACTACAGTTCAGATTCAAAAAGTGAAAAAAAAAAAATTTTTCATTGCTTCAGTCTGCAGCAAATGTAATGAAGAGAGCAGCTTCCTACACTTCCTATTCCCACAATCATCCTGTTTAAAACAAAATTAGCTTGAGCCTGGGTGGAAGCATGAGCTGTGCTGTTGCTGCCCCATGTTCCCATCTGCAAACCAAGAGAGGATATCCACACCAGGACAGCAGCAAAGGAATGGAGAAGTGTTCCAGGCACCTACCCCTCCACAGATCCCACCTGCACTATTGCTACCTCTTCTACCTCTTTTTCCCAGGTGATGGACACAGTCCAAAGCAGGACTGCAGGGCAGACTGGGATGACAGACCTACCACTGGCTGATTTCCATCTGACCTGATGAAGGTGATCCAAGAGGTCCTTGCTTGTAGGATTGCAAGGTTGTACACCTGCAGAAACACAACTGAAGCTGGGCTTAGCTCAGAGATACAGCACACTCTCCAGAGCAGACATTGAGAGGTCACACAGTGAGACCACAGCGCGGTCCCATGTGGATGTCAGAAATAGAGTTCAGAACTCCAAGAGCTGCTTTGCAACCTCCTGTCTGTTCAGAGAAGGACAAGTGCTTACAGCAAATCTAGTGCCATTCACAACCAAGCAGTGACTGGAGAGCATAACCTGCAGSTACCTGCCTGGCTTGAACTGTTCTTGTTCTGTTCATCACTGCAAAATATTGCACCAAATTTCCCATGTCCCCATTTCACACTATCTATCATACTTTGTTTGCCTCACCCCTTAAACAACAGTGGGTTTTCCATAGAAGCTACATTAGACACACACTCTCCCACCTGTGGTCAGGTTATAATGAGTCAACATCAGGGGAATAATAATTGATAATTTGTCCAAATATATTGCTCTGTGCTGGAGGAAGATTTCCACGTGCAGAACCCAGTGCAACAGGGCCCTGACCCCTRTTAGACTAGGACACACCACCAAAATAAATATTATTGATAAAACCTCCTGCTTGTTTCAAAAGCATAGCAAGTAGCCATCACCTCAGCCGTATCTTCTCCAGTTCTTCACCTGAAATTAAGATGTTTGATTTTTTCCCAAGCTTGCACCAAACATTAAAACTGCTGTTTTTTCAGCAACACTCTGCCCCATGGCAGGAGAATGTTAACTGCCATTGATATCATTCACCAGAGGGTGGCTGCTTTCCTCAAGCTCTATCCCTCTCCAGTCTTGCAGCTTTAGAAGCAGCATTACCTTTGTAAAATCACTGTCAGTGACTTTTAGCATGTTTTCTTTCTCCATTTCTTCTATGACRACTCAGTGTCACATCCTCTCACATTGTTTTCTCTTGTCTTCTTCACTTGATGACACCTGCAAACGTGTTAATGGGCAATAGCAGAGACTTGGGCATGTATTTCATGAGCCCCACATCCTCTGCTTCGTGCAGGCTGAATTTTAATGTCCTTGTCTTCTGCAAGCAGTAGCTGGGCTCTAGGCAAGGGGACACTTCTATGCTGCAAGAGAAAAGAAACACTTTYACTGTATGAGCAAATCTGCCCATGAGAGTCAGATTCTGATCTCAGACTAACCCTTAAGTCACTCCACAGACTGAAAARGARAAGCTGTTGTACTAAGATGCTTTTATGCTTTTGAACTGTTTTTGACTCAGGAGATGAGTTGATGTGTATTATGTTAGACCACAAAATCAGTGTCCTTAGCCTGGCTTGGTTTGACCTTCAGAAATTCACATTTCACAGATTTCCCATGTGGCTCATGGAAATGAATCAACGATAGGACCTATGTGTTCACTTCCAGCACATCACATATTGCTACAATTACGATATCAATATTAATCTCTACTATTTATACAGGGCTGAATTCTATCTGCCCATCTTTGTATGCTTGAGATACCCTGGTGAGGAATGCACTCTGTGAGGGCCACCTCCACGGCACGATATAGGAGATCTGACATCTCAGTTTTCCCTTGGAGGCACCTCTCTTTCCAGTGTCTCTTTTCTGTCAGCTTACTTAACGTGTGACAGCCATTCTGATTTTCATGCTATCAGTTAAAAATGCAAAGGTAGGAGACCTTAACTCTGCCCTGCTTTCTGTGCAGAAAGCAATGAATTTACTTACAGGTCTTTGTCATATATAACTAGTTGAGGACTTGAACATCCCAGCAAATAGCTGTGCTATTTTGGAAGGACATATTCCCTATGTGGAAGGACATAASCTCACAAGGGAGATGCACAAAGCCCAGCACGCAAGGCCTCCTCACCTGATCACATTCCTATAAGCTCTTCTGCTGTCCTTGTCCAGACACAGTGTGAAGGGTCTCTGCTCTGTGCTCCTGATTTTGATGCTGTGTGTTCTCAACCTGTTTGCCACAGCCTGGAACAAGAGAGGAAGAAGAGCCCTGTGAAAGTCTCACTTCCCTTCCCTGAGCTGTGTTGTGTCTGATGGTGTAGGCACATGGGACATGAAAGGGACAAATGATGGCATTTTTCTCATTTTAACCTCACATTGTGGTGTGATGTGGACGCTTTAAAGAAAGAGGTGTCTCCTTCCCTTTTCCTGCAACCTCAACCTGGGTCAAAATTTGTGGTGGGCAAAGGCTGCAAAGCTTGGGATGTCAGATGTGAGGCCTGAAGGATAGGGGCCATAGCCAGTTCTCCTGTGCCTTGGTGTGTGTTGGGAGCCAGTATGGGCTGCTGCACCTCAATGCTTTCAAAAGCCACATGAAAATAATTCAGTGAGCATGCTGGCTAGCTGAGAACAGCAGCAGTCACTGCACATAAAAACAAAAAGCTTTCCCGGGGCATATGGTAAGGTCTAAATCAGTTACCCCACGTAAGGGGTCTAAATAGTTAGCCACGCTGGAAGGATGGAAATGAGCATTTCAGGTAGGACTTTCAGGTCCTGCCGAGATGCAGGAAAAGTGGAAGGCTGTTTGGGACGTACAGCTGTGGCACACACCGGAGCCACTGCAGTCACGCAGGCCAGGAAAGCTCCAGGCCCTAAGCCCTAAGCCAGGAAAGAGACACTGAAGATTCCAGGGCAACCTCAAAGCAGGAAGTCACAATAATATCTAGCTCCAGCCTGACTGCAGTGATACATTCCYGCAGGGCAATATGCTCTATATGCTTCAGTAAAGAATACGGTCCCAATTCCTGCAGCCCCTGTGAGATCTAGGGAGGACTCTGTGGCTGGACGTGTGGAGCTAATGGAGTTGATCTCAACTATGGACCCTTTACTGTAGCCAACAAAGCAGAACCAGAGGGACTATGGTTAATCCCRTTTCTCCACTTTGCTCCTTGGGTCACAGAATCAGCCTAGCAGTGGCTTATTCCTGGAGTGTCTGGATCTCCTGAGACATGGTCTAGCATGGTATTGACCAGCATGAGTTGCATTTGGGACTCTGGCTCAAAAAACTAGACTTTTCATTGGAAAATAAATCCAAAGCATCAATTGAGCAGAGCCTTCCCCACYCCACAGAGGGTTTCCCCCTTCACCATTGTCCTAGGGGCATTCCACGCATTGCGAGCATCACAGCTACTTACTGAGAACGACTTTCCTGACAAGTTGTTGCTCTTGATAATTTCAGTGATGTTCACGTTCAGGCACAYCAGTTCTGCAATAGAAGAGGCTTGTTAGCCTCCAACCATAGCGTGATCTCAGCTCAGCTCTGAGCAGGGCTGGTGCCACTGCTGTCACTGTGGCAGAAAACTTGTAGGATACTGATGGAGGCAGAAAATGAGCACTTTTCTCATCAGGCTCCACGAGGAGAGTGGATCATGCTCAGGGTAGAAATCTCGGTGGCTTTGCTTACAACAAGGTAAAAGAGAAAGGCTGCTGCAGGAAGAAGATGCTGCCAAGCCCAAACTATGGTCACACTGAACCCCAAGTTACAGTGAGTCTCCAGTCACATCACTTACTAGGAGATACAAAATCACAGACRGCACTAATTCAACGTGCACAGCCCAGGCACAGTCAACATTAACCTCTTCAAATGGTCAAATTTACTCCATAAAGGAGTATGGAACCCACCTTGGATCTCATCAGCAGGGATGGCTTTCATCACCAGAGCTGTGGAGCGTAGGGACATTGCCACCTCCTTCACCCGGTCACTCACCCCCACCTGCACAAAACACTCCGTTAAAGTCAGCCTAAGAGAGGAGCTAGGCCTAAAAGGGTTGGGGGAGTTGCTCTTTCATTTTTCCTAATTAGAAAGACACAAAGGAATCAGAAAGGAATACTCTGTGGGGAAAACCTGTCTCAGCTCAGAGACAGAACAGCGGCAGAACAGAAGGGAGATTTAGACTGCTGAAGCAGAGCAGTACACATCTGTATACTYGGTCCAGATATGGCACCCCCTGACAGCACAGTGCTCTTAGTGAGCATTCACTGAGCAAAGTGCTATGTGACCTGAATAAGGGGGTAGACTCTCAGGCCACGTCAGGAGTACGAACACAAAAACAAAAATTGTCTTTCACTGCTACAGGGTTCGCTAGCAGGCTTTGGAATGACCTCCACAGCCTCCATGTGCTCTTCTGATGTGCTATTCCAGAGGGAAGAAGKGGGACAAAAGCACTTTGGGGAGCTTCATGCCATGTTGGTGTCTCTGTGAGCGGAGGCATTTCAGGCTGCCCAGAGTCCCTCTTACCTTTTTGTACGTTACTGTGAGGTCTACACCAGGGCCATCCAATGTTACTTTCTTCTTGGACATGGCTAATTCTGCAAGAGGGGGGGAAGGATTGAGGGTTTGCTCATGCCAGTTCTCTGTATGAGCACAGAGAGGGGTCCTGTTGATGGAGTTACCAACAGCATGCCCGCTCCTCTCTGCTCTAGGTGTCTCTGGGCGTCCCTGCTTGAGCAGGAAGGTTGGACTAGATGATCTCTAGAGGTCCCTTCTAACCTTGAACATTCTGTGATTCTGTGTGCTCTGTCTCCAGAAGGAGCCAGGGCTCTGCTCACTCTGTTCTGCTATTGAAGTCAGAGATACAGCGAAGTGGACTCACTCAAGGGTGAGCTGCCAACCGCAATTGCAAGCATGCACTAGATCAGCACAGGAGGCCAGGTTTGCTCCACAGAAAGTGCCGGATGAGACATCTGTAAGGGACCAGCATACAAGCACCCATGTCCCAGCTGGCAGCTCCAAGAAGTAGAATTTCTAACAGGGGAAACATCTGGCAAAAAGGATGGGTTTTTATCCCAATTTATTCTCTTAAACAAAGCTATGATGCTGTTCCAACTCCAGTCTGTGCAGCCTGGAAGCATTCTGTCAGATTGGGATCTGGCTCTGAAGGGGAATGGGTCTCTCTGAAGGGGAAGGTCCACATTTTGCTCAGTATTGGAGCTCACACTTTCTGCAGAGCTGCAGAGCTATGTGTGGCAGGGACACCCACCTCTGTGGGGGTTGCTCTCCGGCATGCGGGTGCATAGCTCTGTGAGGAACACGTCCTCAGCTGGCTCCTGTGCTGGGTCATTGAAGAAAACCTGAAAGAGAAGAAGAAAAATCTCTAAGAGAGGCTCCTGCTCGTTCACCCTCTGGTGCCAATCTGGGCATGCGACTTTCCAGTGTGCCAAGTGTGGCATCTCCAAAGGGAAACTATGACCTCAGYAAGAGAGACTTTGGGCATGAAGAAAACTGGTTTTCTGGGATGGAGAGAACTGATTTTTGCATTGCTTTCTAAGGGCCAGAGAAGGCTTTGCCAGGAGAAGCTTCCAACAGAGCCAACAAGCAGTGTGTCTTGCCACAGGGTGTCACTGCTGACTCACAGATGAGCCTGTTCCTAATCATCTACTCAGAGGCAAAGGAGGTCATGGAGAGCCACTTTCCACACCAGCTGAGGGTGCTGACTTGGCTCCAAGGGAGCTAATGTCTGTTTTAAAAACCTACATCAACTAGTAACTTGAGGTTTATTTATTAATTTCTCTTCATGGACTTGTTTTGTGTAAAACATGAGGATAAAATCCTGGAGAGGCTCTCCTCATGGGAGGAGAGCAGGCTTGCATTAAGTTCCTGTGGGATTTCATTCTCACTTCCAGGAAGACTCTCAGGATCCAGAGAAAAACAATGTGGTCTTAACCCAAACAGCAAAGAGGACTCAGTGTTTCTAGGTGAAGCAGGATAAGGCTCTGTAATAGAGCACAGTAGGTTAGGTGTCTCTATCTGAAAACCACATCTGAAGTTAGTTCCTCTTCCCCTGCTTAAGTCGCCTACTTGCTTTCTTTCTCTTGATTTCTGTCTTGGAAGAGAAATGTGTGGACTAGAAATTCACTGAGAAAACAAAATGCCAAGCCACAGAAGCTAAGGACCAAGTGCTCCGAGGGCTTACAAGCTATAGACCATTAATTCAAGGCCTTGTGGTGCTCTACKAGCAAACAGAGAAGTTCTTACATTTCCTTGCAAGCCCCAGGTTTTTTTGTTCAAGTAATAGCTGCCCCTTTGATGCAATAGATTACCACACTGGCTATGGTCAGATTAAGAGATATGTGCTATGGTCCCACCCTAAGCTTTGAAGGGGGAAAGCTGCCAGAGAAGCAGAAGAGGGTTTGCTATTGCATGACCAAACACAGCAGTTCTTTGCGCTCGTATCAAATACTAGATCTCACTCTGACACCATTTCAGAGAAAAACTGGCAGGAAATAAAGACAACAGTATTTCAGGAAACACTGCAAAGTGTAGGAGGGAGTTGGCAGAGCCACCCAGAAGTCCTATTTGATCACACCATCTAAATTGGTGACCATAATAYGGGACCACTTGGAGGTCCCATACCTCTGGAGTGAGCCTGAGACCAGCAAAGCAGGAAATTCTTGGGCTCATGTGCTAATCCCAAGATTTGCTTTGCTATCCTGTATGATCCTAAAATAGTCTTCCCCGAATCATTGGCTCCAACTGAGCTGTGTTACACTGAATCCCTGGAGAAGCACATGGAGGATTTGGGAGGCTGTCAAGAASGGGGAGAGCTGGTCAGCACATAGATCTAGGTTAGATCAGCAGAAAGCCCTTGGAGCCCTTTGACTTTTACAGCTCCGTCAGCATTGAGGAGCGAGCCCTTGCAGGACCATGTGAAGGCACCAGACGAGTCACTCACCTTCACAGCATAGACCTGGAAACAGACAGGCTGGATGCCCATGCGGACGTAGTACGCGATCACATCAGTGAGGAACACGTCAGTCACAAGATGCTTACTTGGAGATGAAGGCTGAAGGGGAAAACACACTGTGGATCAGTCACATCTTAAAAACACTGACACAAAATCCCCTGAGTCCTCCCAAATAAATAATGAGCAACAACGCTGTTGCCCATGGCAATGCTCAGTTGGTCTGCGAAGACTCATCAAAGCAAACAGGGCAGGGGAAGGCTCACTCTCACCTACTTGCCCCTTTGTGGACGCTATCAATGGTGGATCAAGCTGCCAGGAAATGAGAGTAGGGGTATTTCAGCACAAGCCTCATTTACATTTTCTGTTTTGAAATTTGCCATTTCCTGTTCATTGGCCAAGAAAACCCCCATGGTAGTAAACAGGTCTTGTGGGCGAGGGCAGTGTGAGCCATGTGCACCTTSTGTGGTGACCAGGCCCACAACAAGTCTGCAGGGAGTAAACTTCTGCCTGAGGCGTGAAGGGGACTTGCAGGGCGTGAGCTTGTCCTTGGGTGTTTCAGGAGTATTTGGGGAATGCGCCAGGCTCAACAAGGGTGGGGGAGGTGGAAGGGTTTCCCTCATACCATGGTGGCCAGTTTGGGTATCATGTGGCACAGCGTGTTGATGTTGCTCTCGTACCACGGGTCAGCTTTGCCCAGGTAGCCAGCCACCTCGCAGAGCTCCTCATGGCCAGTGGCAGGGCAGTTCTGTGGGAAAAACACAGAGTTCAGAGGATAGCAAGTCAAAAGAGCCAGAGCTTTTCCCATGGAAAACCTTGCTAGGATCCAGAGGAGGCTGGGAAATGGAGCACTGTGAGCAGCAACCTCGTACTCAAAGGGCAAGGTGATGATGCCAGGCTGATTCTTCACAGTTCTGGCCATGACCACACCACCCGTAGTGCATTGCAGAGCCAGTCTCACTGATTATACATCATCTTATACATCCCTTTCCTTAGGAATCTTCCAGAAAACTCATTTCTGTTCTTCATAATGGGARAACAGGGGCATTTCCCTTCCCTTTTTAGCCAAAGTGATGCTTGCATTGGATGCTTGCATTAATGACATTAAATTCCAACAGAGGGTCAGTGTCCCTACTTGGTGCAGACAAGATGGCAAAGCATTTCTTGCAGCTATTATTTAGCAGATGCTCAAGAACAAGTTCAATTGAATAATTTAAAAATGAAACAAAACAAAAACTTGTTTTCATAATGGCACATTCATTGGRACTTAACTATTCTGACAAGCGTGCCTGTTTGTTTATAGCTGTCCTGGGGATTTCTGAGGGGAAGTGACTTGCCCGAGATTAAACTGCAAGGTCAGGGCTTTCAGAATTGAAACTGTAGCAAAGTCCTCAGAAAGAAGCAACAACTTTCCCAAAGTATTTGGGAATGTTCATTCTCTGCCAAGGCTCCCTCAATGCCCCTACAGCTGGGTAGAGCAGCAAAACTAAATACAATTTCTAATCCATTTCTAATTTCTAATCTAATCCAGTCATTCTTATTAGAATGTCTGGGTAAACCTGAAGATCTCTGGGCCTGAGGGATTCCCAAATTCAGCCTGTAAACCCAGCCCAGGAGACCTGAACTCACTCCCACTCATCTCACWCAAGGAATTAGACATTAAAAATATGTGAGTTCTTGTAAAACTTCATCATGCTCCTCCTCCAGAAAACACTGTCAGATGCTACTAGCCAGCAATAAGGTCCCCAGCCACAGGGACAGACTCACCGCCGTGGCCAACATATCGGGTTGCCCTGTAACAACCGGGATGTGGTAGAACTGCAGGTTCAGCTTTGGAGTCAAGAAAACTCGGCGTGTTTCTCGTTTCCTTGAAATGGAAAAATAATAGAGCTGTGTTTAAAGGTAAAGGTAGGCTCTAGGCTGTCCCGTCTTCACCTGGTTCTGGTCCCGAAGCTGCTACCTGCATTGACCCGCTGCCCAGCGCTTTGCAACGCTACAGCCCAACCCCGTCCCCTCCCGTCCTGGATGCTTCTGAAGAGGCTGAAGAGCATATGCCTGCATTGCCCTCCCCGTTTCCAGCCCGAGGAGCCTGGTGCAGGTGGACAGCAGTACCTCAAGGAGTGGTATGCTTGGGCCAGGCGCCCCAGGATGCGATCGTCCCCCAGCAGCACGATGCGGGCAGTGTGCCGTTTCTGCACAGGGGCCGTGGACTCCTCGGTGATGCCCAGCCTCCTCCGCAGCTTCGGCACTGGCTTCAGCCCAGGACTGCTGCAGCCTGCCTGCAGAAGGGCCACGCTGTCCAGCGGGGATGCTCTTTTCTTAATGCCACCCTTCCTCTGGAGCCGGGATTGCTCTGCCTCAGTGCTGCAAGGGACTACGGGCTCCTCAGCCGCTGTGGGCAGGTCCCGCTCAATGCCACTGTCAGTAGAGAGCACAGAGAAGCGGGTCTGCTTGCAGCACTCACAGTCCGAAATGATGTCGTGGATCTCAAAGTTGTCCAGTTCCTGGCTCAGCATGTCCGGCTCGCAGCTCTGGGACAGCGGGCGGATGAATAGCACCAGTTCCTTCCCTGGGGGAAGAAGAGAGCACGGGGTGGTCAAAGGYAGCATAGAGGAGTCACCAAGCGCTGCCCGTGGACTGGTGCAGGGTAGCCCTTCCTCTGGAAGGCAAATAAAGCCAAACACATGCTGAGCTCAAATTCTGCCTCCATTTCCYTATGCTTAGTCAATCATAGGGCCAACAACTTCTCCAGCAATTCTGAGAGGAGTTAATCTTTCCATTTTAGTTCCCATCTCATCACAAAKATGACTTAGTACCACTCAAAACAGGTGCCTTGGGCAGGATGCTTCTTACTGCCTCCTTCATCGGGTCTTCAGCTCTTCTTTGTTGCCCCTTTCCCTTCTCATGGCCCTTGTTTGGCCCTGGTGCCCCATGCTAGGCAAGCCAGGCGCAGTCAGCACCCGCCAGCCAGGAGCTTGGCTTATGTCTGAAGATTTGGGGCTAAATTACACATTCTGCCCATGATTCCCAGACTTGGGTTTAGTCCACATTTACCACAGTCCCCGACACGAGCACTCACAGAGCTGGTCATCTTCTGTCCAGAGGTGGAAGCTGATGTTGGGGTTGGGCAGAGGGATACCCTGGAGCTCTCCTAAGGGAGGGTTGCCTGGGGGAAGCAAGGAGACTTGTTCAAACAAGGGAGCAGCCAGCTTTCCCACCCAGATGCATGAACCCCTGTTGTACTTCGCTTTGGATGCTGGCTGAAATAACCACACAGATCCTCCAAGCCTTTCACATCCTGATTGCCTTCTGGCCACAAGCAGCAGGCCACTGCAAGGGGGTGCAAGGCCTCTCACCAAGAGCAGCGAGTCAAGAGGGAAACATGACTCCATTTTCACTCTAGCCTGCCCCAGTTTGTGCAAAGAGCTGTGGGAGAGGGAGATGTCAGTTATAATTGTGTATCTACCATGATACCAAGCCAGGACAGAGAGCTGCTGGATGTGGAAGGAGGTGGCAGAAACCAGGGTCCATCTCATCAGCACAAGGAGCAGYGCACAGCTTTTTCCCAATCTAGATCCTACCAGGACATATATTAGAACAACCGAGAGCCCTGGAGAACCTKTACCAGCTCCCTGATAGACAAGGACTTCCTATGGCACCTTTTGTAGGTGATGGACACGTGTCTCTGGGCCTCAGGGCAGGTGCACTAGCAGCGGGGATTGCCACAGTCTGTTGCCATGGCTGGCAAAACCACATAAAGTTTGTCATTCCAGAGCAGAGCTGTTAGGCTGGGTTGCTGCAAGGTGCCACAGTGAGAGGACAACCCCCTGAGCCCACTGATGAATATAGTGAAGGTAGATATGTTGTTGCTGGCTGGAAGATGAAGGGGAGGACACTGCAGCGAAGAAGGGGTCTGCCAGTTCTACCTGAGCCACTTCACTCCCTTTAATCCCCATGTTTAACCAGCCCAGTGCTCACCTGCCGACATGGAGCTGAGAAGAGCATGGTAAATCTCCTCCAGCCTCGCCACATGCTGGCTGCGATCCGCATTCACCTCGCTTCCTGCGCATTCGACTGCCATCACCACTTGCTGGAACCAGTGCTCTACTTCACTCATGGGCATGTCCTGTCACAGAGGGTCACTATTAACACCCAGAGTTGTGAAAACAGGAGACACTCAATGGACAGGGATGTGGGAAGGCACAGGACGGGGGAAGAGGGCAAATAAGACTTGCAAAAATCATCATCTTGCAGAAGAAGACACAAATATCCTCCTGATCCCAGGTTAGCCATTGAGGCCTGGCTGAGGGAGGAGAGAGGAGGAGTACTGGCCTCTCAAAGGCTTTTTCTCCACCAGGCTCACATCTCCAGGTTCACGTTTTCTCCACCAGGTTCACTGATGGGTCCTACCAGAGGTGACAGCTTGACTCACCAGCGCACAGACATGTTCTAGGAGGAGAAATGGCCCGTGAGCCCCTGCAAAGTTGTCTGAACCCCTTATCTGTGCTGCTCTACAGCTCCCCGAGGGACATCTGGGAGAAAACTCATTGAATATTTTCTGCTGGGATATTTTTTTCATTTCCAATATGAAACATCTCATTCCCAGATACCCTCCACAGTCATCTCTCCCATCAGGTGCTGGCAATCCTCATGGGCTGCCGAGTGCAAGTGACATTGGCAGCAGGACAAAAAGGGCTCCCATGCCTCTGTTTCTTGCTTGTACCCCCTTGCTGCAGCAGCCCTTTTATTTCTGAAGGATTTGAGGCTTTAATACTAGACTTTTGGGCTGCTCATAGCCCATCCCAAAAGCCGCACTGAGGCTAGAGGGGATGGTGACCAGCAATCAGGGACTGGGGCAGTTGCCCACTTGCTGAAAAACTGTTCTTCAGTCCCAGCAAGAGAGGGGCCTGCTAGAAATCCCTGTGTGTCACCGCAGAAATGCTGCCACTTACCTGCAGGCTTCTCCTCAAGCYGCCGATGTCGCAGCCCTTGACCAGGCTTGCCTGCATGGCATGGATGATCACGTACGACATGCATGTCCGGGGGCTCTGAGAAACCTGAGCAGCCTCTGTGTCACTGACCAGCGCATTGCAGATGGCTTTGGAGAGCAGCTCTGGATCTGCAAAGATGAAAACCCTGCACAGGGCAGGCAGATGGGGAGAAAGAGATGAAATCTGGACTCCCAATTACTGACATGGGGTGGGAGTGGGAAGTTTACAGCTCTAGTAGCCCTAAAGTGGGGCAATTGCACATGTTGCCTTTCTGTGGCCTGTCTCTCTCAACAGTGACCTTCCTAGGATCATGGGAACATCAGTGAACTTCCTAGGATCATGAAAATCAAATGAGACACAAACACAGTGTGCAAGCACAAAGCCTGTTTTAGCGAGTCAGAGGATACCWCTAAATTCTGTCCCCTCAAACCACATGCTGCCACGCAGCTTGTATCAAAATTGTCCTGCCCATTCTATGCAATATTAATTTAGAGTTCAGGAAGGAGACAGATTTTACTGCAAAATTAAAGTGCCGTAACAGAAATAAAAGTAATAACATGTTCAAGGACTCACTTTTCCTGATAAGGGTATGGGTCACTTTTAAGACTTTGTTCGGAAATCACCATTCTTTGGTACAACATACCTAACAAACACAAGGAGATAAAACACACAGATATCAGAGCATAAGAAATATGACACAATCCGCGAGAGCAGCTGGATGATGCTCCCAGGAGCATATCGAGGTTTGACAGTAGGTCTGTCAAATTGGTGAAAATATGTTGCTGAAGAGATCATGCAAGAGAGCCCAGAATCAGACACGGGGCTAAATATAGTCAAGGACAAAAACAGGCCACTCTAAATAAGAAAAACACTTCTATTCATGGATGATTTCCTGGATTTCCCTTCTTTTGTTCAGTGAGTTATGAGTTTGGGGGTGGAGTCAGAAGCAGGAGGAAGAGCCCCATTCCCTGGCTTCCCCAGCTGACTCCATACTGGGAAGCATCTGGGGGCACCATTTACATGGATACTAAGAGCACAAGGCAGGAAAATAGAGAAGGGAGAGCCCATATCCAGCCCAATTTGTGCAAGTATCCAACTGCTGTCTGCAATCATCTTATAAACCCCATGGTGCTCCCAAAGAGAAGCTGTTAGCTCAGATGGGATGAATCTCTGTTGGAGATGCCCAGCATCAGATTCAGTCTCTCCATATGGAACCATCCATTGAGCTAAAGTCAAGTAAGGTGAAGGTGGACCTTGGGGATCCAAACAAAACGTTTCCAGGGAAATGGCTTAGGTGATGGTGTTGGACTAGGACTCTAGCTGGGCACATCATCACACTTGTCTCCTCAGTGGTGGAGGGTGTGCAGCCACCTGGACTTTCACCTGCATGGATGACAGCTCAGGGACTGAAATCCATGATGTTGTCACCACAAAGACCTAGGCATTTCACTGTGCCATAGAAGGGCAGAGCAGAAAAGCCTATGTACCTGGGGCAATCCTTTCCATTTTTAGCCTGGCAGCATAGTCCAAACCAATGGTACAGAAAGGCTTGGGCAGGGTGAGCATCTTCTTACAGAAATCATACACCCGACTGCAAAGATCTTCAGAGATGCAAGGAGCCTGGAGAGAAAAAGAACCYGTTAAAGAGATGCCACAAGCAACGATCCCAAACAAGCTTCTTTTCCCAGGAGAAACACCTGTGTGGGCTGTGTGGGGAGGAGAGCTACACCCAATTCAGTCTGTGTTTAAATGCAATATATAACACAGAACCAATCCTTAAAATGTATCTGGAGACCTCCAGCAATGCACACTGAAGGACACAAGTACGCCTTTGGGCAGCGTTTGGATAGGTGCCTGGGCAAACAGGCTTTTTCCCCAATGTAACCAAACTATTGCCAGAAAAGAAAAGGGGGTCATTTGGAAGAATATGTCACTCCCATACACATAACAGGTGACAATGTCTCAGCCAAGTTTTCACTTGGCACAAGGGAAATGCATGGCTGACACTATCACTGCTATTTCTGGGCTTTACTGGGCACATATTGGGTGGTTTCAGCAGAGGAATAAGTACAGCACAGCAAAACACTTCGGACCAGCAAGGGCTGCCAAGTGAGTTCAGATGGTCCCTCTTGTGGCTTCTGAGTCCCCTGGATTTTATCCCAACAAGACCTCTARGTGGGTTACCTTTATCAATGCATACATCAGTGTATGCAGCAAGGGGATGATGTAATGTCTGTAGTCACCTCTTTCAGCCTGCAAGATCGAAAAAATAAATAAAACCAACGGTGAGATCCTCACACTGATGCCCTAGTGCTTAACAAGTTTTACTCCAGCATCTTTCTTCATGGATGACATGTTGATGGACCTGATCTAAATGGAACTGATGACAACAAAGCTTTAGAAATGGTCACTAAAACAAGCAGTGTTGAGTCGCYGAGACTAGCTGACGGTTCCCCAGAGCCCTGGAGGAACTCGAGCATGAAATTGCTGAATTATTATCTGTGGTTGGTGCTGATCACTCAGGGCTGCTACTGTGCCGGAAGAATAAAAAAAAAAAAGTGACACTAATTTCCAAGAAGAGCTTCAGGGAGGTGAAARGAATTACAGAGCAGGACGCCTGACATTCCTCCTGGGCAAAAAAAAAWAARAGCAGAAGAGCAGGAATAGAYAAAACATGGAGGAAATGACATGGCTTTTGTAGAGGAAAGCAGAACTCAATGCATCGGAGGAGTTTCTGAATCTACATAGATACGGATTATGTGGGTGCTTCTGACTACTGCAATCTAGAAAAGCTGCTTGATGAAGATCCTTCCTCAAAGGGCTGATAGAAGCTAAATTGCAATAGTGTGAGAGGGTCGCTCTGTAAATGGCTTCACTTAAAACGTGAGAAATAAAGATCAGAAATAATTGTCTGATTTTCCCAGTTGACGCYTGCACAGGAATCTGAGGGCTGACACAGGAATCACGTGGGCTGCCATGACGCAAGTGTGCAGCACAGCAGCATGCATGGAGCGGGGTGACAGCACCTGCAGAATGTGCTGAGCTACCTGAGGCACCAAGCAGGACCAACAACAGCTGAGGAAGGTCTCCCATCACAGAACAGCCACCGGTGAGAGATGTGCAAGCTGAGAAATGACAAGCAAGGCACACAAGGAGAACAGCCTTGGTTTTCAATGGGCAGTGATGGGCTTTGAGCTCTTGGATATTGAAAAGTAAGGCGGCACTCACCCTTTCCAGCTCTTTCACCAGGATCCCAACCAGGATGGAGCTGTTACTGGGATTCTGATCAATCTTTTTATGCAAGGTCCAGCGCAGCATCCCTAAGAAGTGAAAACCAAGAGAGAGGTTAGGATGCCAAGCAGAGAATGAGGGTTATGAGGGGTCAGGTTTAGGGTTTGAGACTGGGAATCGGGAGACCTGGGTACTATCTCACACTCTTGCTCCATAAAATAGCCGTTGCCATGTTCCACTGGCATCACTCTCAGAGCTAAACCAGTGCCGTGAGTCTGAATACATATTAATGTATATTAAATATAATGTATATACTGGAAATAGATAAGTAGGAAGTGGCAGGGCTTGGCCTTACTTCCACCAGGCAAGTATTACTATGGAGGAACTCTGGATCACAARCATTATCAGCGCATCTCAGGTTGGCATCATGTGGCCCTGGTTGGGGCACAGCTGAGGAGGGATTTCTGAGCTAAGCTCTCCTCCTTATTCCCTTRCTCCTAAAACAAATCCGTGTTTTGCAGTCCCACTCTTCTGTGTACATACGACAATATGGAATGAGGCTGTGAGCACGATAATGGGTGTGCACAAATGCTCTTGATATCCTGGGAGTGAGCAGCTACAGAAAAGTAAGACAAGGCAATGGTCTAGACAACATCTTAAGTTTACTTCCAGCCCCTGTGTCCTCTGCTGCTGTTTCTTACTGCCTGGTTTCACAGTGGCCCYGGGGAATCTGCAGCACCTGACTGCTGCCTGCCAAAAACTCACAAGTGGAGCGAAGACCATGAAGCTTTTCAGCTCTGTGGATGTCAAGGCTCAAAATCACATTTAATTAACTGCAAAATAATGCCATGTGTTCCAAGTGAAATCAATTTCTCCAATTACGTTTCCCAGTTGCTGGGTCCGTTTTATTTTTCATAGTAGAAACACGCAGGTTTCAAGYGACTATTAAGGAGCCCAGCAGCACACTGAGAAGCGATACACCCAGGGGGAGATATGGGGAAAGTGAGGCACAGACGTACCGAGCTAGCCAGGGCTGTGTGAGAGCTGGGAGTGGAACCAGGCTCCRTTCTTCAATGTCCCACCTCAGCGCTGGGTGAGCTGAGAGTGAAGGAGCCGCAGCAGAGGMGGGATGAGGTGCAGGGTTCACAGCAAAGCAGCACGCAGGGATGCTGCAAGGGTGACGGCTCGTGCTGGAGGGCTTTTCCTGCAGGGCTTTTCCCTTACCTCGGTCACACTGGAAGGCCGAGTGGTGTCCGTCCAGCTCTCGCAGCAGGGTCCGCACGCGGCGCAGCATGTCTGACTCCACCTCTGAGGACACCAAAGGGATGTGAGCAGCAGGACCAGCTCTGTGCCTGCACCGCTTGGAGACCTGCAGCAGTSCCCTGGTGGCCAAGAAGGCCAATGGGATCCTGGGGTGTGTTAAGAAGAGCATCTCCAGCAGGTCGAGGGAAGTGATCGTCCCCCTATACACAGTCCGGATGAGGCCACATCTGGAGACTGTCCAGTTCTGGGCTCCCCAGGACAAGAGGGATGTGGAGCTGCTGGAGAGAGTCCAGCGCAGGGCTATGAGGATGAGCAGGGGCCTGGAACATCTGCCCTGCGAGCAAAGGCTGAGGGAGCTGGGGCTGTTCAGCCTGGAGAAGAGGAGGCTGAGAGGGGACCCAAGCAGTGTGTACAAATACCTCAAGGGAGGCAGTGAGGAGGATGGGCCGGCCTCTTTTCAGTGGTAGACAGTAATAGGACTAGAGGAAATGGCCACAAACTGAGCACCAAAAGTCCCACAGGAACTTAAGGAAAAAATTSTTAAAAGTGAAGGTAACAGAGCACTGGAACAGGTCTCCYGGAGAAGTTGTGGAATCTTGTTCTCTAGAGGTCTTCAAAACCCGCTTGGAYGCAGCCCTGTGCCACGTGCTCTAGGTGACCCTGYGTGTGCAGAGGGGTTGGACTAGGTGACCTCTAAAGGTCCCTTCCAACCTTAAGCATTCTATGATTCTATGATTCCTGGTGCAGTTTGGTGCATCTGTGCTCACTGATGGGATCCTAATTGCTGTTAGTGGTATTGAGGAGGTCTTGCCACCATGGCAAGGAGCTATTTACCCAGTTCCTAAGGTAGATCCAACATGCTGACACGTGAACTACAGTAAGGCAAGAGCTGTCATCCCCTCTTGGCATCCTCGCCACCTCCTTGTTCCCAGGTCCCAGGGCAAACAGCATGTCCAGACTCATGAAAAGCCTCTCAAAGCCTCACACTGGTCCCCAACCAAGGCCAGGACTGTGGTTCCTGGGGTCCAAGGAGCGAGGGACCAGGGCACAGGGGCATCAGACACAAAATCCACTCAAAACAAGGTGGGCAAATGCAAACCYGAGGACACCAAAACCAGACCAAATCCCAAAATATGCTGCTGAAGTTAARTGTACATGGGGGGAAAAACCCATTCCTGCTGGCGTATGTCATGCCATTGCACACGCACAGGTAGGAAAAACAGAGCAAAAGGGTCTGTGGAAGTTTGCTCCTTTTGGAAGCATTATCAGAGGGAAGTGTCAGGATTTTGCTTTGCAAATTTATATTTTCTCTTCTATTTTTTTTCATTAATGTGATTTTATAAAGTTTTGAATTTTAATAGTATGCTTACTATTTTTGCACTGAAGAATTACACATCCCAATGGACTATTTGAAATATCATTCCTATCTGTGGATATTTCAGTTACTATTTCTGATTTTTTCTCATAAGTGATATAAATATTATGTTCCCTTTAAAAAAAAAATCAAAGGCTGCACTCACAGTGTCTTGAAGTTCTTCACGGGGAGCAGCATGCCAAAGCATTTGCTCCAGTATAAACAAGAGACACTTTGATCTAAAAACAAATCGCAACCTACCAGCAACAGCCAGTAGCGCTGGAAAAATGACATGAAATGCCTCAGTGTTTATATCCTGACCTAGAGGTGTGGGGAGATGGACACCACCCCATGAAGCAGCACAGAAAAYAAAGCAGAGACGGGGAAAATCATACAGCAAAACATGAACCTGCTTTAGAAGTCAACTGTGTATGTGTTCCAAAGCGAGCGTTTCCAAAGCACCTGTTCTACAGAAAATGCTCCTCAGCCATTGCAGGTCTCATGCCCATCTGTCAAGCACAGTTTTCCGATACCTTGTGCAGTTATGACACATGTTGCATGCAGTTACTTTTCCCTACATAATTTGTATTTTGCAAGTGGAAATGAAAGCGGGTAACGCGCCCTAGCGCTGGCTCCCCTGCCCCTCTGCATGTGGCGTCACAGACCTGTGCTCTCCATGGCTGGGCCAAGGGGTTCAGGCTCGGGACGTCTCGCACGGTGGGACGAGTTGGCGGCTTCCTCTCACTGCACCTGGGCATGGCCTTGGGTCCGGTGTCTCGCCTGCAAAACACGGGATGACCAGCTCAGTTGGCGGGCGGGAACGGGCTTGTTCTGAGCCTCGGAGGTAGCCAAGCCGCTGGAACGCTGTGACCCAGGAGCAGCGGACAGAGGATGCTCAGCAAGGAGCCCTAGCCCCTAAGGAAGCACAGCACGTGCTCAWCTCCAGTCCGAGCCCCTCCAAATGCCTTGCTCCAATTTTGCAGGGAGGATTTCCCTAGGACAGCAGTATGCATTTCCAGGTACACTCCTCCCTGATCCAGACGTGGGGAGGACTTTCTGATCCCCAAAGATTCAGAAGAAATATTCAAGTTAGGTCAAACTACATCCAAAACCTAAACTATAATCAGCAAGCAAGTAAGCATGCAAACAAAAATAAATACATTTCTACACTTGCTGTTCTGATGTACTCTCATCCCACACTGAACCGCAGAAAAACAACTCCCAAAGAAAACTTTGGAGCAGGTTATGCTCCGGAAGGAAGGCAGCCTGCAGCCGGACAGCTTGCCTTGCCCTCCAGCATTGTTTTCTGCCCTCCAGCATTGTTTTCTTTGAAGAAAGACAGAGAGGGGAAAAAAAAATCCAAGAGGGAGGAGGGAAGGAGGCTTTGCCCGCAATGCAGCCAGCAGTAAGATGGGGACCCGGTGCCTGCAGCTGGCAGTATCTCCCCAACCTCCCTGATGAGGGGCAGCAGCGTCGTGGGGCTGGCATGCAGGTACTTAAAGCCTGAGGGATTTGGAAAGCTGCTTTCAGCATTTCTACATTGGGATTTTTCCAGCCAGCAGACTTCGTCTTGCCTCCTTGCAATTAGAGAGGACAACCCCCTGATTCCCCAGTTCTGGAATCTGTCATTTTCCTGAACCCTCCATATTTGTGTCCGAGAAGTGCAGCCCATCTCCGGCTGTCCTCGTGTGGGTTCAGGTGGCAATCACAGTAAAGACCCCCCAGTCCTCAGTGTCCATGCAAGCAGAGCCCTGCCGTGGCCTCTCACAGGTGCTCCTGGCTTTGCTCGGTCAAATATCCAGGTAGGACCAAAATCTGTGAATACCCATCGCCCCAACCAAAAGAGCAGTAGCTGAAGGGGGAGATGGACAGACACGAGTGGGATCACACTAAACTTTGCCCTGCACAGGTCAAGGCCCCAGGAGTATCCTGCTCCTAGCGGTTTTCTGAAGCTCATTAAAGGTTTCCTGCAGCACGTGGAGCCTTCCGAACCTACCCCAGGCCTGCATGGTCTTTGTTTCTGGCTCTGAGTCTGGATAATAACGCCTGGCCCCGGGCCAGTGCAGCGGATTTCCGCCTCTCCCTGGGCAGCAGCACGGTCGCGCTCAGCACAGCAGGGCAGCAGACGGCTCAGGGCCGTGAGCCGGGCAGACCCAGGCTCTTCTGGACCCCGATGCTAACCCGGCTGCTGCGTGGGCGGGCAGTGGGCACAAGGCTCTCACGCAGCTCCACAAACCAGTTCCTCTTCTGCACCCGAGGTGGAGGGAGCCACTTGAACATAGCAGTGACTCACGGTGGTGCCCAGGGTGCTCTCCACGCTGCGGCTGGCACGGACACCCACTTCACCCTTCTCTCCTGCTGCTCTGCTCTCCCAGCTGGGACATGTCCTGCGTCCCCTTCCTCTAACGGCTCCATGACCCAACCGTGCTGGGGACAAAGAGGCCACTGGCAGCAAAGGGCTCCCTCTTGCAAAGGGCTACCTYGATGCTGTTGCATTTTAGAGGATTATCACCTGGTCCCTTTGCTCTGTTTTATCTTGTCAGCAAAATAACCAATGTCCATTGCCACCAGTAGCAGCTCGTGCTTTGCAGACCACAGCTCTGCTGGGCWAAGGGCATCCTCACACCCAAGACTGCAGCTCAGAGGTCCCGCCTTGTCCTGGGATGTAGCCAAGACATCCATCCTGATGGATTCACCATGTAGAATAACCCCTCCTTTGTCCTCCAGAGATGTTTGGCAGCCCCCTGTGCAGAGTGGTGAGCAACAGAAAGATGCTTCCTGGTGTCGCAGCCACCCCACAATATCAGAGTGTGCCAGGCGCCCTTCACACATCCTCYGACACACAAGATCTTACTTCTGGAAACAGCAATGGACCTTGTTCCGGGCCAGAGAAGGGAAAGCTCATTTAATCTGCTGAGCCCCAATGGCTTAAAAACTACAGGTTGTCCTCTCAAAWCATTGCTACAGAAGGAAACTGAACGATTCTCCTAATCCTTTGCTTGCCCAACCTGGAACTTCTAAGAACACTAAGTATTGTACAGTAGAATTCCTTTACTTACTAATTTGTTGTCGCTCAAAATTACATTTTCTGATGGGAAAACTACTGAAGCCACCACCAGCTCAAGAAAGCAGCACTACAGCTTCTGAGATGCAAACGCAGTGCACTGCATGCTTGACTCTCTTGCAGTTTGTTCCTTGAGCATCAGAGAGGCCGCCTTGCTAAAACACAGCGGCTGCTAATTGTGTCRGCGGTTTTCCACATCCGTATCCTTCCTCTGACCACGTGGGAGGAGAGTCTTCTGGCCAAATTTAGAACCGGCTCACAAGGGCTTGGTTTCTAGATTTAGAAGAGGACTTAAAGCTGCTGGTAGGATGTGAATTCCCCTGTGCCTGAGAGACTTCAGCTCTTGATTCACGTGTTTGCTTAAAAGGTATTGGCTTTCTTCACTGTCTGCAAAGGACAGGGGTTGCTGATGTCTGCGCAGCAGTAGCTGGAATTCAACCAGTTCCACCTGCATCTCTGAGTACTAGGGTCTCCCCAGATAATTTAATATGAAATGTTAAAAACAATTCCCCAGTTCGTTCAGAGGAATAATTTGGGTTTAGTTACACTGTCTGTGTAACAGAATACAGATAGAAGCCATCTGAGAAGAAGCAC